TCACTGCATGTGGATCCTTCCCCCGCTAACCCGACCCCACAGAAGGTTGAGGGGACAACTATTTGAGAAAACAATAGGCCAACAATAGGCAAGTCAGCCCCCAGGGCCAGACTCTGCTGGGCACAGAGACCAAGCCGGTGGTCACATTGAGCCCCAGGGGAGCCCCAGGGCCTTGCCAACACCTACGTGTATGCACAGTGGTTCTGTAACGTGGTCATAGTTCAAGTTCTTTGGGGCTGTGACTGTGAGGTGGCGAGTTCAAAGTAGGGACAGGGGGACACTGAAGGTTTTGTGAGGTCACCTTGCTTCCTGGGTCAGCTCTGTTCATGCTCAGGAAGACCTGGGGCAGGAGGGGAGGGAGTTTCTGACCTGTGAGGAGAAGGAGGGGTGGCTCCTCCAGGCCCTGGACTCTGATCCCAGTACAAGTGTCCTTTCCAAGGAGGGGCTTAGCCTTTGGGGGACTGGGAAGGGTGTCTCAAGGGGTGACTCCACAGCACCCAGGCCTCGGCCCCACGGTTCTCCCTTTGATCCCCTGCCCTTGTCCAATTTTTTGTCTTCCCAGTACGCTGGTTTCTCTTTGTCCATCTGTGTGCTGTCCTTCCCCTACTGAGCCACCCAGCACCCAGCTCTCTGCTCAGCTGGAAGATGGCCCATGCTTCCACTTGCACCAATCCCCCATCATGATGCCCCTGCCCTGAAGGAGAAGCCACACCTCCTCCCATGCCCCGCCCCAGGAGAGGCTGCCTCCCCAAACTGCTTCCTGGGCTGGGAGGATAAAAGGCTAGGACTGGGTTCAGGGCAGAGAGCTGCAGAGCCCTGTGGAGGTGAGGAGGCTGCCTGCCCACTCCTGCCCTCTCCTTCCCAGACCCTGGGGTGCGGGCCTCTCCTCCTCACACAGGCCCTCTCCTATCCCCCAAGATGCTGTGGCTGCTGTTCCTGACCCTCCTCTGCCTGGGGGCCTCTATGCCCATGACCCCAGGTGAGTCCTTGTCCTCTTCTGATGCCCACCCTGACCCTGAGCCTCTATCTGGTGTCTAGGGAGCAGTGCTGGGGCGTGGTGGGGATCTCATTCATCTGAGTCTGTCTACCTCCTTCATGCCTGCACTTGGGGAGGCTGAGCTGAGCTCTGGGTTGGGAGGGCTGGATCCCTGATGACCCCTCACTCTGCCTCCCCAGCTCCGGACCCGGAGACCGAGCTCGTGGGTATTGTAGGGGGACACGATGCCCAAGCTGGGAAGTGGCCATGGCAGGTCAGCCTGTGGATCGCTGATATGAGTGGCCAGTGGATATTTTCGTGTGGAGGTTCCCTGATCCACCGGCAGTGGGTGCTGACTGCTGCCCACTGTGTTGTAACGTGAGTGACTGCCCTGCACCACGTGGCTCCCTGACAATGTTGGGGCATCTGATGAGTGCTGTGGTGTTTCCTGGGTGGAGTGATCACAGAAAAGAGACTGAGGGATTCCATCCCCTGGAGTCCACCCTGGCACCCCATGCACAGACAGCCCCCTGGGCTGTGTGAGTGGGTCTCTCTCAGCCTCTGGGCAGTTTCTTGTCTTCTCTCCCTCAGACAACAAGCAATGATTCTCCGTCTTGGTGTCCAAGTGGGACAAGTGCAGCGCAACCCGAGTAACTTTATCGAGGAGGTC